GGACAGAGGTGCCGCGTTGGACAGCTGGAGTCACACGATTAGACCTCATTCGAAACGAAGTCATGCGATTCGCTGTGACTCCGATTGTCGACAAGATGCGCGAAGCCCGTCTTCGATGGTACGGTCATGTTCTTCGCGCGAATGATGACAGTGTCCGTAAGATCGGTCTCAACCTTGACGTGCCCGGAAAGCCGGCGCTCGAAGGCGACCAGCAGTGCGTGAAAGACATCGCCGCGAGCTACCAGCGCCGCCGCGACGTGCTCTACAAGGGCCTCGTCGAGGCCGGCTGGGCGGTGGACTGCCCGAAGGCCAGCATGTACATCTGGGCCCGCATCCCCGAGCCCTACCGGGAGCTGGGCTCGCTGGAGTTCGCGCGCCAGTTGCTGGAAAAGGCCAAGGTCTGCGTGTCGCCCGGCATCGGCTTCGGCGACCACGGCGACGGCCACGTGCGCTTTGCCCTCATCGAGAACGAGAACGCGCATCCGCCAGGCGGTGCGGGGGATCAAGGCGATGTTCAAGGCCGATGGGCTGCTCAAGCCATGAGGCCGCAAGCCTGCATCCTCGACCTCGACGGCACGCTCGTCGACACCCTCGGGGACTTCGTTGCCGTGCTCGACCTGACCTTGGCCGACCTGGGTCTGCCCACGGTCGGCCGTGACTTCGTCGAGCGCACGATCGGCCGCGGCGGGGAACACCTCGTGCGCCAGACGCTCGCCCACGTCGGCGCCAAGCCGGGGTTGTTCGACCATGCCTGGTCGCTCTACCAAACCCACTACGCCGAGGTGAACGGCGCGCATGCGGCCGTCTACCCGGGCGTCGTGGAAGGTCTGGACGTGCTGCGCGAACTGCAATTGCCGCTCGCGGTGCTGACCAACAAGCCGGCCGCGCCGGCGCGGGAGCTGCTGCGCCGCAAGGGGCTGGACGGCTACTTCCGGCACGTGTTCGGCGGTGACGACTTCCCGAGCAAGAAGCCCGATCCGCTGCCGCTGCTGCGGACCTGTGAAGCGCTGGGCACCCTGCCGTCCAGGACCTGGATGGTGGGCGACTCGCGCAACGACGCCGAGGCCGCCCGCGGCGCGGGCTGCCCGGTGGTGCTGATGACCTATGGCTACAGCCACGGCGAGGATGTCCGCGCCATCCCGGCGCGGGCCCACCTCGACCGGCTGGACGCGATCAGCGCTTGCGTTCGCGCTTGATGCCCAGCAGGGCTTCCTTCAGGCTGTCGTCGGCCGGCTTGTCACCCAGCCAGATGCGCAGCATGGCCGAGAAGAACTCGGGCTCCTTGATCGGCTCGGGCATGACGGACTTGCCGTTGAGCAGCAGCACGGAGCCCACGCCCGGCACATAGTCCACCGAGAAGCTGTCGCCGCTGTTGAGCTGCTTGCGGCTGGCGAAGATCTCGCTGAGCTTGAGCACGCCATTGATGGACTTCACGAATTCCTCGCGCGGTGCATTGGCTTCCATGCCCTTGGTGAAGAGCTTGCCCAGCTCGTTGCCGTCGATGTCGCGCAGCATCTGGATGTGGATGCGCTTCGGGCCGGGCGCGGCGAGCACTTCTTGTGTGGTGTTGGCCTTGTGGGTCAGGTACAGGCCCGCCGTGTAGACCTTGACGACGAACTTGTAGCGGATGCCGGCGCCGTTGAGCACGAGCTTCTGACCGGCGAGATCCGCCGTCGGCTCGTACTTCACGTTGGCCACTTCCACCGCCTGGGCCCAGGCATTCCCCCCGTTCAGGCTCGCCGCGGCCAGCAGGGCCGCCGCAATCAGTGCGCGCATGTCTCGCTCCGTTATCGTGCCGCGATGGCGGCATCTCCGTACACCGAAGTATGACCTGACTCGCGAAAAACCCGACTGCTACACTGCCCGCAACATGTTCATCACGCGCAAGCACATCACGGGGTCGAGCGACCGGGGAGCCTGGCCCTGGCGTCGCTGGTCAGCCCTGTCCTGATGCTGCTTGGCGCGCCCTGACGCGCACTTCTTTCGCGTTGCCCGGTCTCCCTGGGCTGCACGCCAAGCCCTGAAATCCTGCTTTTTCAAGGTTTGAGACGTGATCACCGAACTGGAATTCCAGAGCCTCGCCGCCGAGGGCTACAACCGCATTCCCGCTCATCAGCGAGGCGTTTGCGGACCTCGAAACCCCGCTGTCCCTCTACCTCAAGCTCTGCGCCGGCTCGGGCCAAGGGCGCAACAGCTTCCTGCTGGAGTCCGTCGTCGGCGGCGAGCGCTTCGGGCGCTACTCCTTCATCGGCCTGCCCTGCCGCACGTTGGTGCGGGCCACGGGCACGCTGTGCGAGGTGGTGACCGACGGCGTCGTCGTCGAGACGCACGAAGGCAACCCGCTGGACTTCATCGCCGCCTACCAGGAGCGCATCAAGCCCAAGATCCCCGACCGGCCTGCCGCGCTTCTGCGGTGGCCTGGCCGGCTACTTCGGCTACGAGGCCGTGCGCGCCATCGAAAAGCGCCTGGACCGCGACCAAGAAGGGCGGCGGCCCTGGGCACGCCCGACATCCAGCTGCTGCTCAGCGAGGAAGTCGCCGTCATCGACAACCTCTCCGGGCGCCTGTACCTCATCGTCTGGGCCGACCCGCGCCAGCCGGAAGGCCTACTTCCGGGCCACCAAGCGGCTCACCCAGTTGCGCGACAAGCTGCACTACTCGGTCAGCGTGCCGCGCGTGAACCGCAGCGAATCCCACCCGGTGCAGCGGGACTTCTCCAAGGCCGAGCTGATGGCCGCGGTGGAGCGCGCCAAGGAGTACATCGCCGCGGGTGACCTGATGCAGGTCGTCATCGGGCAGCGCCTGGCCAAGCCCTTCAAGGCCGAGCCGATCTCGCTGTACCGGGCGCTGCGGGCGCTGAACCCCAGCCCCTACATGTACTTCTACGACTTCGGCGAGTTCCAGGTCGTCGGCGCCAGCCCGGAGATCCTCGTGCGCGAGGAGCACGGCAGCGACGGCGCGCGCAAGGTCACGATCCGCCCGCTGGCCGGCACCCGGCCCGC